TGAGAATATCTTCATCGTACAGCTGTGCAGTTTGGTGCAGAGACAACAACTCACTGCTCAGTGTCAACACATGTCTGGAGCTAATGGTCAGACAGCAGGAGAGTTTACTTCATGGTGAGAATACATCAGTTACATACTTCGCCATGAACAGGTATTTATTTTATATCTTCATTCACATTTTAGTTACCAGCATAAAGAGATCACAGGAACATTTGCCATCTGTGTTGCATAATGATCACTAAAATAAATCTTCAAAGTGAACGTGGTACAGTGATGATACATTTTTGTAGACGTGCTTAAATCTTACCTTTTCTAAAAGCGCGGGTCCAAACTGACTGAAGCTTTTCTTTTGGTGTCAGACTGAGCTGGAAGTCACTGTCCCACTGTAACTTTAGCTTTTTATGCTCTTCTTCTTCAGCCAAATAAGGACCTACAGTAGTCCAGCCTAGAAGGAATAAAATACATTAACTGTTTTTTTAGTATCACTCTGAGACAAAAAGTTTCTAATTTTATTCATAATCATCTGAATTTTTAATCTGGGGATTAAAGGATGAATCGTGGTCAGCAGGTTCCTCTGTCTTTGGCTGCATCCACACGGATGGATCATTATTGTAAACTTTGCATATCGTTTCTTAGTGGTTTGTTTTATATCACCACCTTTTGTTATGGCAATGCTCTTTTAAAATGCATTTGATGCACATTTTAGTGTGGAGGGAGATATTTTTTGAAATGAACTCAGAAAAATCCCCGTTTTGGAAAACAAAGGGTAAATGGGCGGTTCTTATTTAGTACTTTTCTACCAGATGTCTCATTCATCCATTCATACAAACACTTTTTCTGGGCTTTCTATCTCAAATTCACACTCCAGTGAGCCGGGTTCAATGTCCTGCCAAAGGATACTGAATCCAGACTGCAGCAGCCCTGAATTGAACCACCAACCTTCTTGATAACCATGTGCACATCCTTTGTCCCATTTTCAGTTAACTTCCTGTTTTATTTTCAAAGCTGGGTTGTTCCTTTTCCTGCCTGCATTCATGTCTATGATTAAGTTACAAGTGCTTTAGTATCCTTCTCCAGGGCGTGCATTTAGTCTGTGCATTTTCACTCTCCCTGGTCATTTTCTCATCGGCTTTAACTC